TGAGCAACAGGCCTTTCAGGGTCCAGTGGGCCAGAAGGAACTTCCCGCAGTGTCTCTGGGAGCACCCACTGGGGCGTGCCCCAGGAGGAAACTGAGGCAGGAGGAGGCCGTGAGTGACGGGCACAGGGCTCTTCCCACCCTCCTAGAGCTGATGTCCTTTATAGCTAAGGATGCAATGTGGGGTCTGGGGTGTTGGTACGTGAAGGGTGAGCGAGCACCAGGCCACGCCTGCAGGGACCCGCTCGGAGAGAGCACCAGGCCACGTCTGCAGGACTCCCTCGGAGTGAGCACCAGGCCACATCTGCAGGGACCCGCTCAGAGAGAGCACCAGGCCACGTCTGCAGGACACCCTCGGAGCGAGCACAAGGCCACGTCTGCAGGGACTCCCTCGGAGTGAGCACCAGGCCACGTCTGCAGGGACACCCTCGGATCGAGCACCAGGCCACATCTGCAGGGACACCCTCGGAGCGAGCACAAGGCCACGTCTGCAGGGACTCCCTGGCAGAGAGCACCAGGCCACGCCTGCAGGGACTTGCTCCAGACAGGCATGTGGTTCCCGACGCTCACCTGCGCACTCGGCACGAAGGCCCACGTGTGGGCCCCAGGATGGCACCCAGGAGCCGATGTGTAGTGGAATGCCCTCCCTGCCCCACTGTCTACAGGAGCCTTGGGACTCCTGGCCATTGGGTCGGTCTCCACAGCCACAGCTCCCCAAATGGTCTGTCCACATGCAAGGGCTGGCCTGAGAGCTCCTGCAGTGACACGGCTAGATGGGATGAGGCTGTGCCCAGGCCACCCAGCCCTCTGACCACTGTGCTGGGGATGGGCTCCCCCTTCCTGGTCGGAACTCAGGTTCTTGGTGCCTGGTCGGATAGGCCTGACCTCAGGAAGCTACAGGACGGCGTCTGGTCTGACCGAACGGAGGCGCCGGGGCCCTGCGCTCTGCTCGGTGGGATGCTCAGCGGCACTGCGGCGGCTGCTGCGGGGCAGCACAGAGGTGACAGAGGACCTTGGACCCGCCTTCTCAACGGCACAGCAGAAACCACCAAACCCCGGGCCCAGGGTGGATTCAAGCCTAAGGCCAGGGTTCATGCTAAAGACCCACACGGAGGTCCCTGCACCTGCTGGCCAGGCGTGGCCTCACTATGGGATCAGTGACTACAGGCAGCGAGTTCTGGGCAAGCCAGGCCGGCGGCATTTTGCACTGGGGTCCTGAGGTGGCCCCTGGTGAGTGAGAGGCGGGAGCGTTTGCACTCCAGGATGAAGAGGAAGGTGGTCCTTACAGGGGCCGAGCGATGTGGGAGGTCTAGGAAAATGTGGCCCCTGCTCCGCCCTGAGAGCCTGGGAGGAAGGGCATTGACAGGATGCCTTGGGCACACAGACCCGAGGGACACTCAGCCACCCACGCCAGTGCCTCTTGCCCAGGTTCCCGGGCCCACACTGGCCGAGGTCGGTGACTCCCTCCTGCAAGGGCTGGGAGCACACAGGTCCGGCTGTTCACGATGGCCCTGTCCTGCTGTGTGCCGTGGCCCTGGCACGGGCTCCAGGGCTCTCTAGATGCCTGGGGGAGCAAGGTGCTACCGAGGCCCCCGCTGCTACCCAGAGAGTGACAGCGACCGAGGAGGATGCTGGGTGAGTCGGTGCAGAAGACCTAACCCATGACAGCACAGACCGGGAACAGGCGGGGGTGACAGCGGGCTGCCCGTCAAGCTTACCGAGACCTCACCCCACTCCAGCAGGGCCCAAGGACCCACTTCCCCAGAGTCGTGCGTGGCCCTGCTGTGACACAGGGACACAGGGCTAAGGCCCGGCCGTGCGGTGTGGCAGAATTCCTGGGGCTCCTTCCAGCATCCCGAGCCTGGCCCTGTGCAGCTGCCGGTTTACAGGAGCTCAGAGGGCTGAGCAGGTGGGGGAGTGACCGTCCGCTGCTAGACTAAGCCACCGCAGGCTGCAGGAGGGCGACGCGGCCCCACAGACACGCCCGGGAAGGGCCCTCGTGCCTCAGCAGTCACAGTCCCATGACAGGTCCACGGCTAACATGCCTCCTGAGACCCCGAGGGAACTGCGCTGCCACTACGGGTCCCCTCCGGGCCCAGCAGCCACCGGCTCCCACCCCTCCCAGCTGAACACAGACCCAGGCTCTTCCCTTGGGAAGGGTCCTGAGTGGCCCATGCCTGCTGCAGGCTCGGGCTCCCTGCCAGACTGGGCAGGACCTTCAGTGCACGAACACCCGGGTGGTTCGGAGTAGGTTGCTACGCATCCAGAGGCGGTTCCCGGCCTGGAGGCCGCCCTCAGGGTCTGTCGACAGGCTCCAGGACACGAGGGCAGGTGAAGGGAACCCGCCCGCCTCACCCCACGAGGACGGACCAGGCACACCAGG